CTTAAGTTGTTTATCTTTTTTAGGGTAGCAGGCACGCTATCAACCATATCACTCTTATCCATCATGGTGGTTTTCCTTTACAAATCCTAGAGAAAAGCTTTCACTTGAGTATTCATTTGTAACTCCAGGATTTTTTCTTTTCTTTGTTTTTTTTTTTTATAAGTAAAATTGTATTAGAAAGAGTTCAAAAAGGGAACGCATCCCGAAAGCTACACAAAGGGCAAAAAACCAAGACGAACCCCAAGGACCCAAAGAACCCAAAAAATCAACTAATTCCCCTATAGATTTACAATATCTCCCCAAAACCCAGCAAAAGAGAGCTAACAATAAGAGATTTTAAAGCCCCAGTAGAAGATTCCTCTCCATCAAAGGATCTTCTATTTCGCTCCTTCCATAAACACCACCAAATGCATAAGGGCGACACCCTCTGAAAATCAGGAGTGTGGGATCCCACAAGACACCCTCTCCAAGCATCAATCAAGCTTCTCGAAGATTAGGCATGCTCCAAACAAATCAAAAAGAAGACTCCAACAATCGTGAGCCACGGAACAATGCAAAAGGAGATGGTCAACTGACTCTCCAACCACTTGTACTTTGACTTTTATATCTTAGTGTTAAAGTCCAATACAATGTGCATTTGGCAAGGGAAGCTCCGAAGAGCATTTTAGGATTACTTCTCAGCCCGTAAAGGAAGAGGCTTAGATTCTGGTTGATAAAATCATAAAACTGAATATTAAGTACTGAGAATTTTAAGAACTGAATTTTAAGTGTAAAAGTTTTTATGTGGTAATTAAAAAAATAAATACTTTTTGATATCTTTTTGAACTTTCAGCCTTCAGCATTCAGCATTCAGATAAGTGATGTCCCTATCACTTAAAATATTACTCTATTTTGAATGGTGCTTATCGTTTTCAGTGATTTATCAAATGCACTTAATTGGATAAGCACTTAATCCGTTGAGAATTAAGTACTGAATTGAGTTACAGCACCTTACTCTCAGCCTTAATGTGAGAGAAGGTCCACCCTTCAGCTGAAGAAGAGGGAGCATTACTTTCAGCCTTGATGTGAAAGAAGGTGCACCCTTAGCCTGTAAACAAAGAAGGCTTGCTTTCAGCCTTGATGCGAAAGAAAGGGGTTTACTCTCAATCAAACAAGGTAGACCCCCATAGTCAATTCGAGAGAATCCTCAAGACGCACTCTTAGGGCAAAGACGTAGGAGGCAGTGCCAAAACTCGTTATATTTTTATATTAGATTTTCTTAACCCTTTACACTGTATCATTGCATTCATGTATGTTGCCATTTATACTTTATCTAAGTATGTTTACTTTTAAGGTAACTTTCATGTCTTTATATATATTTTACTTAATTGTGTAAATATAATTTTTATCTTACTAATTTACGTATATGTGTCTGTGCGTGTATTATATGTTAGTTAAATCAAGACTTATTTGTTGAATTGTATTTAGCTTATATGTAACTAGTTCTTTGTTTTTGTTAGTCTCCTTAAGTAGTTTTTCTTTAGGTTAATCAAAACTTAGAATAATCTTCGACTAGATTAACCAATCAACTAGAATCACAATTCTAGGAACAAAACTTAGGTGATAAGAATAAATGTTTAATATTGTGCTTGTTCTATGCATATCAAACAACCATTAGGAACAGCTAACCAAGCTGTTTTCTTTATAGTTGACATTATGTTTGTTGAATTATATTTAGCTTATATGTAACTTAGTTCTTTGTGTTTGTTAGTCTCCTTAATGTAGTTTTTCTTTAGGTCAATCAAAATTTAGAATAATCTTCGACTAGATTAATCAACCAATCAACTAGAATAACAATTCTAGGAGCAGAACTTAGGTGACATCCAAACTCATAAACTGACCTCACCGCAATCCTTAGTTGAACATTTCATCAAATAACAAAAGAAACAATTTTCTTAGCATATCAATTTTAGGATACCACATTAGGAACATCCAAGCTTTAGATAGTTCCGCACTCTTCCAAGTCATTAAAAAGAAATCCAAATTAGATGATCTTCCAAGCTTAAGTTCTTCCAACAAAATCCCAAATCCAAAGCTAGCAACCAAAACACCACCCCTCTTACCCCCCTTCTTCTTTCCCTGGGTTGATCACTTGGGCCAAGAGGACAAATTATAGTGAACCGTTGTTACATGTGCAGGAGGAATGAGGAGATGGTGGATCATGTCCTTCTACTTTGTCCCATGGCTCGTGACTGTTGGGATATGATCCTTGGCCTCTTCAGGGCATAGTGGATTATGCCTCTTTTTGCGAGGAGTCCCTTTTAGGCTTGGAGAGGTTGCTAAACGGCCCGTAACTGGAGCTCATGTTCAAGATGCTTGGAGAGTTGTGCCTTTGTGTTTCTAGTGGTCTATGGGGAAGAAAGTAAAAGAACATCCTTAGAGGGAAAGGAAACTCCTATTAGTATAAAGTTCTCTATCCTTCACAATTGGTTTTTTTTTTTTTTTGGTTTGCTTTTAGGGCAGAAATTGTAAATCTTTAGGAGAGTTAGTGGAGTTCGTGGATACTTTGAGAAGTTAAGGGCGGTCCTTGTGTAACCGTTGGGATGCACTCCTTGTCTACCATACCTTACTTTTCGAAAGAGAAGGAGATGTTAGGATAATTAAATTAGGGTACACTTGTAATTAGTTTATCCTAAAACAGTATTTTAGTCTTTTCATTATTTTTGTATATACATACATATATATATATATATATATATATATATATATATATAAACAGAAATTGTCATTAAATACGCTCAAAAAGGGGAGCGATCTATATATAAGGTATTGTAACGAGGTGATATTGGTGATTCTCTCTTGCACAAAATTAATTTCTTTATTTTGTGAAAGGTTGTCACACAAAATTTCAACATACACTATCGATCTACTTCTCCTCAAACCCTAATCTCAACGAGAGAAGAAAGAGAAGTGGAGAAGTGATGTTTTGAAACACCTTTGGGTAAAGAAGAGCTTGATTTTGAAAAGAAATATACAAAGTGAATCAGAGCTGCTGGAGGTAAGGTAACGATCGCATGCCCTGTCGTCTTTGACACTTGGCCAAAAGAGGGAGGCAAAACAGAAGCTTCAAGATAGGGCTTTCTTGTTTTGTTTATCTTTTCTTTTTTCTTTTTTCTTTTTTCTTTTGGTTATCGATATTTTTAGTTTATATTGGCCTGAAAGCCTGTTGGGCTTTCTATTTAAACGTGGTTAATGGCGCAATAGACTTCAAAATCTAACAAAAACAGCCCATACGCTAGGATCACTGGGAATTGTATGATGCTACAATCCCACCTGCAATCCCAACGATTCTATCCCGATCCTACCGAAGAACGAGTTTTGATGCGATCTGGCTCGATTAGGTGATCAAGGATCGTGCGATCCTACCCGGATTGCGATTTTGACAACCATTGATTGTATTGGGTGAATCATGGACAATAGGAATCATGGTGGAGTAATCAGTTGAAAGCTTGGAAGAATGCTCCATGTGCAGAAATTTTGAATGGCTTGGTTGCATGTATATGCTGACAGTTGTGGAAAGGACGAAATGGTTGGGTTTTTTGAGGATAAACTGTGCACAAAAGTTGACATTATGAACTTGGCTTCATCTCAACAATTCGAGTATTGTGAACTACTGGAGCAATCAGTTATTGCAGGGGCGGACACGTGTTTGCGGACTGGAGGTAATCAAAGTAGAGAAGATCAATGGTGTGTGCCTCAGGATGGTTGGGCAAAGACTAATTCAGATGCCTCTTATTCCAGTTGTAAAGTTAGTGGGGTTGTGGTTGCTAGTGATTGTAAATATATAATTTTAAAAGCAACTATTTTCTATTTTCCTGCTGTTTCAGATGCATCCTTAGATGCATCCTTGGCTGAAGCTCTAGTTTTAAGGAAAGCTACTCAACAAGCTGCGTAAAATGTCGTGAAAGCCGTGTGTTAAGCAAGATAAAATAAAAAAAAATAAAAAATAAAAAATAAAAATTGTATTTGACTTTCCTGATGAAAAGGCAATGTAATTTGTAGTCTGGTTTCATACTTATTATAATGATATCCCTTATTCTTGCTTCTGAAAAAGGAAAAGAAAAAAGGCTATTTGATATCCAATACACCAGAAATAGGGTTTCCCTAGATCAGGCTATTTGAAGATCATAAAAAAGGCTACAAACGAAATGATCAGAGCTGAGAATTGGGCTAGGGCGCTTGAACATGGCTCAAGATCATATCAAGCCTAGAGCTTCATGTTCAAGCTCAGGCTCAGCAGTTGTTCACCTATTTGTCACATTTCTATTGTTGGATTTCAAATTTTGAAAAAATGAATGGATGTTAATTAAGAAACAAGCAAGTCAGATGTTTAGAAAATGACATTAATTCCAAAAGGTTTGTTTGAATTTGGTTCAAATTGAAGAGGAAGTTATATCATCTTAAAGAATAGAGGTAATTTTGGGTTTGAGAAGTCATTTTGCTAGGTACCCACCAGCCCTAAATAGGGGTGCACACGGTCCGGTTGGGTATGATTCTTGACGGAACCGGAACCGATCTCAACGGTTCCTTATAAATGGAACCGAAACCGGAACCGTTGAGATCTCGATCTGGCATTCATGATTCGGTTCCAAGAAATTGTTGACTGTCTGAGTCTTCCTTGACTGCTACAATCGAAACCTAAATTTCCTCAGGAGCTTCTCAAATCTCCGGCCACCCCTCTTCCTTCCAAGGCTTGATATGAAAGGTCATTCCGGTAGGCAAAAAAAAAATATTTGTTTTGCTGAAATAAAATGTAGATTATAGTGATTACCTCAAAAATTTCACCAAATAGGATTTAGTTTGCAAAACAAGAATTACAATCTTACAGACCTTTGATTAATTGATTTAGAAAAGAAAAAAAAATTAAAACAAAACCCATACATACAAGTTAGCAGTTGCACAGAGAGAGGGGGGCAACCTTGAGAGTTGAGAGACAGCCCCCGCGCCCGGGGGGGGGGGGGGGGGGAAGCTTGAGAGTTGAGCGACAGCGGCTGAAGCTTGCAAACGGCGAACGGCAAACCCAAACTGGAACAGCGGGCGATTGAAACTGAAAGATATGGGTTTTGATTTTTTGAACAATCTAAAATGATATGCCAATATAGGTTTTGAACTTTTGATTCTTGCAGACAGATAGATAAACTGAAATATATGGGTTTTGAACTTCTGATTCTTGTAGATTTTGTAGTTTGCAGTTGGAGAGAGAGAGAGGGCAAGTTCAGAGTCAAGAACGAGAATAGAGATGGAGGCAATTGGGGAGGCTGAAATGATTTGCCCTAAAAATATTTTGTTTTTTGGATTAGAGTTACTAATAATATAATCAAATATATATAATATATATTACGGTTCGGTTCCAGAATCGAAACCGTGAGAACAGAACCGGAACCCCGGTTCGGTTCGGTTCCACAGTTCCTTTGTGCACCCCTAGCCCTAAAGCAGAGATTCTTTTTTTTTTTTTAAACACAATTTTTTAAAAACTGCCAGACGAACGAATTTCACACAAGTTCTCTGAAAACATAATAAAGCTTCTAGAAAAGTGAATCAAGCAGACCTTTAATCACCTCACGTGTACTCAACCTTATACTTTTTACAACAAAATTCTTCAATGTAAAAAGAACATGCTTTAAATATATTGATCAATTGAGATGCTTTGGTACACAAAAAATATACTAGTTTATTTTCTCAACATTAATAGCTTTATTCCACACATTTTGCTTATATTTTACATATGATTCATGGCTAAAAACAAAAGCACATATCCCTGTTACCCAACAGAAAGAAAATTTTAATTCTTTAAACACCAAACAACAATGCAACATGATCCACAGTACTGGTTACCTGATTACCAGCACTGGTGGGGTTCATGGGGTTGATAGGGAGCTCGCCAGCATCCATGATATGCTTTTCAAATTTGAGTAATGCCTGCAAATTTAAAAATCAGACACTGCACTAGAAGGAAAGTGAGGCTCCATACAGTAACAACAGTTTTGGCGAGTGAGGTTTATAAACATCACTTTACAATTCTGTCATTCTAAATTTCTAACCCACTAAAAGCATGGTGAAATACTAAACCTAATCTCCAAATTCTAAAACAAACACGATCTAAGACTAAATTATGAATCAGAAACTTGAAACACTTCATATAATTGGTAATTATCAAATTTTCAATTTCTCATTTCTCCTCTTATGTTACTAATATGATGTCTTAAATTAATTCACGTAATCTTTTCATAAAAACATCGGAAAATCCTTGAGAGAGCAGTGCAGATCCTGCACAAGTTAAAGCATTGTTAGAAAACAGTAACCCTAATTAAAAAATAATTTATCACTTTGAAACAAGTGAGAACGGTAAGGTTGTTGGAAGTTGAATACATTTTCACTTCTTTTGAAGTATCACTATTTTGAATATTTTAATTTTCCCCTTCTAAAGGAAGGGTGTACCAAGTAACAGCCTCTTTGATACAATAATAGGAATACATATATTGGTCAAGCAAGCTTTTGTTACATGTTATCCTAGTGTGTTTCAGTAACATAGCAAAACTAACAGTCTGCATAGGTAATAATAAGGCATTCGGCATATGAACTCAAACAAATAAATTCATACTCCATTTTTCTTAGTTCATGCAAACTAATCATTAAACTAGAACCATATAGCATGAAGTTACTCTTTACTTTGGGGGTTTAAATAATTCTCCAACTAGCCACCACCGCTTGCGTGACGTTACCAACAAACGAGCAAAAGCAGTAAGCAACCCATAGCACTTCATATATCAAAAACTTTCTAATTCCAAAACCCTAAAACATGTTCTGAAATCTGAAGCTAAATGCTTTCGTGAAATCAACACATAGAAGGACCCAAGGACATATATTTAAAAACAAGTTTACTAAAGATTATCGAACATTCATTTGATATCCAATAGACCAGAAATTAGGTTTCCCTGGATCAGGCTATTTAAAGATCATAAAAAAGGCTACAAACGAAATGAGCATAGTCGAGCTGAGAATTGGGCTAAGGTGCTTGAACTTGGCTCAAGATCATATCAAGCCTAGAGCTTCACGTTCAAGCTCGGGCTCAGCAGTTGTTCACCTATTTGTCACATTTCTATTGTTGGATTTCAAATTTCGAAAAAAAAGAAGAATGGATGTTAATTAAGAAACAAGCAAGTCAGATGTTCAGAAAATGACATTAATTGTATAAATTATGCAAGTATAATCAACTTTCAAATCTTAAAAGTACAAGACCCTGGCAAACCTCATCATAGCCACCATGTCTCATGACAACTCTCCATAACCTAAGTCACATAAGCAAGACAAAATATCAGTACAAAACCGGATGTATTATTCTTGAATAATCTACAAAGTTCAATGTTAGTGTGTACTAAAACTCACTTGAGGCAATTTAGTGGCTCTCCATTGAACATTGGCACTTCAAATTCCAAAGACCTCTCGTTGTGGAAAGTTTGCAGCTCCTCCAAGAATGTTGCTTGTTCCTCCTCCGTTCCTGATTCATTGACATTTGGCACCAATAGAGAGGTCTTCGGAATTTGAAGTGCCAATGTTCAATGTTAGTGTATACTAAAACACACTTGAGGCAATTTAGTGGCTCTCCATTGAACATTGGCACTTCAAATTCCAAAGACCTCTCGTTGTGGAAAGTTTGCAGCTCCTCCAAGAATGCTGCTTGTTCCTCCTCCGTTCCTGATTCATTGACATTTGGCACCAATAGAAATGATTTGCTTGAACTCCGCAATTCGTCCTCCTTTTCATTCTGTGCTTGCCTCCCTGTCACGGAAACTCCCGTCGCCTTATTGGTCCCTTCATTCTCCTTTGTTTCTTGGATATCCGCCATCTTAGAACATTAAACAATAACCAAATTAATTAGGCCTTCAAAATCAGTGGATTTTGCTTTATGTCCTCAAATTGAGATAGTAACTCATTTTTAACTGCTCTCATTCTGAATGCATGAACTCTAATTAATTAATTATGACGTCAACAACAAACAAAATTTTGAAAGCATGAAAACCATAATTTGTAAATTAGGGTTTAGCGCATTTTGAAACATATAACTAAATTGGTCTTTTGGATGCATGAAATCTCTAATTTGTAAAAGAAACCAAAATTTTGAAATAATTCTCTCACATAATTTCTAAAATATGCAAAAACCCAAATTCATACATGACGCTAATTATAAATGCATGAGAAACCCTGATTTCTCTAAATATTCAAAACCCTCAACTCGAATAACTGAAAAGCCCTAATATCTACATGACAATAAACCCTAATCTTAAATAACTGAATGCCCTAATTTCTACCTGACAATAAACCTTTGAATACATGAGAACCCTAATTTCTACAGGACAACGAATTAGTATATAGTATATGCATGAAGCCTTGAAGACATACCTGCTTCTCGACCAACTCAAACGCAAAACTTAGAGATCAAAAACCCTTCGATGAAAACTTCGATCACAAAACCTTGAGCGGCAAAATGAAACGTCACTGCATTCTTCTCACCCTCTCTACTTGTTTGTCCTCTCTCTCTGTGTATAAAAACGGGACCCACAGTGCTACAGCATCCAAGGGCAATTTTTCACTTTTTGTATACATGATATTTTAAAATAATAAACAAGTATAAGGTATAAACCGTATTATTATCATTTCACATTTATTTTGTTTGGAGTCTTATTGGGACTGGGCGTATGCCGCGTATCATACGCTACAAAACAATAATTGTTCTCTGAGATTTATATTTAAATTTATTTTTTGTTTCAAGAAATTTAAATATATTGTTCTGAAAACCAAACAGCCTCTTGAAACAAATAATAATTATAATTAAAAAATAAAAATAATGTATAACCAAATAATATTATAATACCAATTCACACGGAAACCACCAAAGAAGTGAGAGAGGACTTTATCGGTGAGATACGGTTTGGGGTGGACATTTGGTCCAATCTATTTCATGCAGATCCAATTGAATTGTTAAACTGATGAATCAGTAGTGGTGGATTTAATAATATAAAATCTGTAGTTCACAAATCAACTTACAAAGTGGCCAGTTAAAAATTCGAACGGATCCATAATTCGATCCGTAATATATAAATAAATAAATAAATATATATATATATATATATATATATATTATAAGAATGTATTCGTTACTGATCTTTAAAATTAATATTTGGTAATGATTATATTTGATCCCACAGTTGGGGAAGCATTTGTATTGAGGCAGGCAATGCTCAAGGTAAGGGAGCGATTGTTGTCGCAGGTTATTTTTTAGCCTAATTCTAAACAGGTAGTGGACATAGTTAATGGGACTGGGATATGTCCAATCGCTTTGATACAGTTAACTGAGGATGTCCAGATGTGGCTGAAGCATTCAAATGGGTTTACTATTAAGTTTGTTCTCAGGGATACCAACACTGTTGCCCATAATCTGGCAAAGTATGCTATGTCTAGGAAGGTCGATGTTGAATTTTTTGATTTTTTTCCTCCTGTTTTGATGGATGCTGTAGTGGAGCAGTGTATTTGACTTGCCATTGAAATTTTATTTTTTGTACCATGGATAAAGTATACTGCAAGCTAAATTAATATGCAAGGAAAGAACACTGTAATTAATTGGAAGGCATTGTATTGAAAAGGAAATTCTTTAATGAAAGAATTGCATTGTTTTATTTTATTTTATTTTTTTTTAAGAAAATTACACTTAAGTAGATTTAAGCCTTAAATAACAAATTAATCTATTTTTAAAGTTAATTTTTTAATTTGGTCGAGTTGAATAAAATAATTACATATACATCAAAAACTATTATTTAGGTCCAAAATACCCTTCAAACTCTTATTTTCAAAACTTCAAAATATCCCACTTCAAAATATCCTTCCTAAATCAAATAATTATTTCATTCATGAAATTTAGAAGAAGAAAAAAAAAATTTGAGTTGACTTTCAACTTGGCATTTTTGCATATGGATATGGTGTATATATTACCAAAATAAATAAAATAAAAACAACATGCACATATTTATATATATACACTAGAAAAATTTGTAAAATCTAATTTAAAATTAATATTTAACAAAGTAATTAAATAATTGTAAATTCTGAAATATCAATGAACATAAAATTGACACAAGGTAAAAGAGATAAAAATAATAATTTTTAATTTAACTTTATAAGAGGGATTCAATTATTGATAGGTGTATTTTCAAATTCCTAAAACAATCAAAATCAAGACTATTTTTTATTACAATTTACTAATATTATATTTATTCATATATTAAAAAATTATTTATATACTATTTATAAAATTAGAAAAGATGTGGAGACTAAATAGACTAAATTATTTATATATTTTATTGTCTAATTAGAAAGACTAAATTATTTATTTTATTTATATATTTCCTTATCTAATTAGATTTTCTTTTATTAAAAAAAATTCATAATAAATAGATATATAATTTGAATTTTATAAAAACTCTTCCAAACACCTTATATTAATTTTAAAATAAAAATTCATAATAAATAGTTAATTTGTTTTATTCTAAAAGGAAACATATATAAAAATTGAATTGTAAAAGGAAACATATAAATTTATTATTAAAAAATAATGTACTGAAATTCTTTGTACTTTTAATAGTAGTATAGATATAGATAGATATTAAGGGTGCAATTTGGGTTGGGTAACCCGAACTAACCCAAGTCCAGCCCGATCTTTTACGGGTTTGGACAATTATTTTTACAATTAGGGTTGGGCTTGGGTTGAAAAATTTAAACCCGAATTTAATTAGGTTTAGGCGTAGGTTGAAGTGCTAACAACCCAAGCCAATCTGAACATGAATTTTAATATTATTTTCCTATATATTTTTAGTTTTAAATACATTATATATAATATTTAAATTATGATTATTTTTTCTCTTTTCAATTCTTCTGTTAAATCTTAACTTATTATATGTTAACATTTAGGAGAATTATTTTTTAAAAAATTTGTTTGTAATTTATTAAAAATCTATAAAAAGTCTTTAAAATTTTCTTGTTTAAGAGTAATTTAATCTAAAACTAATTCAAAATCATATTAAAATTTTGGTATAAAGATTAGCCATATGTGTATCCCCAATTAACCTGAAGTTTTTAATTAAGAATCTAAGTCCTAGTTGCAAGCCCGAATATAAAGGTAGAAGGATGGGTCAGGCTTGGGTTGAGTAATAAAGGATAGGGTTAGGGTTGGGCTTGGGTTTAGCATTTCATATGGTGGGGTGGGCTCAAGTTATACCTCAAACCCGTCCAACCCGTCTGAGTTGCAACCCTAATAGATATATATATAGAGAGAGATTATATAAATTTTATGCAAAAAAACTTTAAAAGTATCTCCTAATCTATATTGGTTTAAACTCGCAAATGTCAGTTAAGAAATATACAAATAATTTAGTTAAAATTCATTATATATAGAATTTTTTTTTTCTGTAAGTGAAAATTCATCTTATATATATATAAAATTTTATGTGCACATAACTTTAACCATATCTGTTAATTCATACTGTTATAAATAAAAAGAGTATAGAACTCTGTATTGTATTGATGTTTATGAGATATGAGGTGATATGTAATACAGGAATACATGAGGGTTTCTATAAGAGAGGTTATATGTGGAGATCAAGTCATTACCATATAAAGTTATGATATATATAGTAGTAATGAGGGTAGGCTAAGACAACTACTATATAAGGTAATGTTATATATGGTAATGATATGTTATAAAATATATTCTAACAATACATGGTAACAATATATTATAGAATATATTCTAACAGTCCCGCTCAAAGTAAATGTGGGTTATATGAAATCATCTTGAGCTCGAAGATTATCCTTTCACCCTGATGTAATTGACGTGGCACCGATCCTGACGTGGTTGATGACAAGGCAACTAAAGTGGCCGGTGACTTGGTACTGCTGCTAGCATCTCTGCTACGTGGCAACTTATAACGACCTGAACCCGTAGTCCGAACCGCTAACCGGGTCCTTACCCGAACCCGTGGTTACCTAAACGAATACTGTCAAGTTTAGTGTCAATAGATCGCCTTTACACCACGATTATACTTCATAGGGACCCTAATCAACAATTCCAAAGCTCAAAACTCAAATATAACAGAAGAAGGAACAAAACCCACAAACAGCAGCATTTCGGTCGGCTGAAATGGCCCCCATGTACCGGTCAACCGAAATGGCCATTCTGGTCGGCCGGTTGTGACCCCAACAGTGCCTGAACTTACTGGAATGATCGGCCGACCGAAGTGCCCATTTCAGTCGCCCGAAATGGTTTTGCGAGCTATAGAATTCCTGCTGGATTGCTATAAACATAAAATTGCACAAGTCTTGCCATGGAACTTTACAACTACATAAATCATATCCCAACACATAAGAAATCATGGAATACGGAATACAACATTTACTTAGGTTCGTTAACAACATAATTACACATGATTCTACATAGTCTCTTATAAGATAACAAAGTTTATAAAATTTACATTCCATGAGTTCCATTTGTTTCCACAATTTCTACATTTGCAACATCATACAAATTTCATCTCATAATTACAAAAGATACAAAACAAAAGTCCCAATCCCCGTTTAGAATTGTGGTGGTTGTCGTCTGCCACTTTTTTTCCCAAATCTGAAAAATATTGAAATAATGGGGTGAACATAAGCTTAGTAGGAAGTGCCTAAGACACACGTCTTATAACCCCGTGAATCCACGCAAAAAATAGGTAAAAAGGTAAGCGGGATCATACTATAGGGAATACATTTCAACAACAACAATGACGAGAGTATAACGAATATCATCCAATCACAATCACACTGCATATGCAAATAGAGTACAATGTCATACAAGCGTCACTCCCCATTTCTGAAACACTTCCGTTTCAACTTCCAACCCGTTAGTGTAATTCGACTCAAGGCACCTCCAAAGCATCACGAGAAAAGGATTGGCTAACTATCCATGACCACAAGGCACCTCCAAGGCGTCACATCTGGCCTAATTAGCTCAATCTCTAGTCTCCTCTAGACTACACTAACACCACGGACCACTAGGAGCCTCCTAGGCATTTGGCTTTCGCAAACACTTTTAGAAAACATTTTCCCAAAATAATTTCATTTGTTTTAAAACACATTTCCCCTCTTTCTTTCCTAATGAATGCATGAGTGTTTCATGCTTCAAGTCATCAATGTAACCATAAAACTTTCACACATGCTACTCAAGTTAAATTGCTAAAATATACAACTTATGATTTCAATCATCATTAATTCAACATGGTGAACATATAAAATAAGAATTTAATCTCATGTAAGCATGCTTATTCACAACACATCAACTATTACATAATTACACATTTCATATACATTATTTAAATTATTTTAAGGATAATTAACACAAAATAAGCATACTTGACAACTAATAAAGGAAAATCAACTCACAAAAGTATAAGAACTCGTGGATTAGAGACCCCTACCTCAATAAATAAGAAA